AGACGTACACGAAGCGGCACTCGGGGAATTGACGAAGTACCTAGAAGAGCAACGTTCAGTAGATGTCATAGAAACGGACTGTGCTATTATATGCAAGGGTCAGGCTTGAGGATGGATGCTCATACATCCCAAGCGGGAAACAAAGGCGGTGATGCGGTGAGCCTGAGCCAAGTCAGCATGCGACAAACGCTTATCGACTAATGAACATACATCAGAATCTCGTAAGCAGCGTATTTCTTAAGCTTCCCAGCTCCGCGACGATATGCGTACAGAACCTCAGGTCGAGCTGTCCTGATGTTCTTCCGACCAAGCAGCTTATGCATCGCAGGACTCGTGAGATACATGGGATCGAAGACGACCAGATTGCAGGAGCCGTCAAAGCGGCGCTCAAAACCGACAATGCTGATTGAGTGTCCTGGTTGCTGAAGGTAGATAGGCGGTAGAAGAGTCTTGGAGACATTGGATCCGTCGCTGGCAGCCGCTCGCGCAAAATATCGTTCCATGGCAGCGAGGAGAAGCTCGTGGGCCGCAATGGCGCGATCTTTATTGTCGCTGAACTGCTCGACAGCGCAGTTGATTTCTGAGTTGAGGAAAAAGGCTTGAGCCTGCTACATATTAGCAGAGAACAGTTGAAGGTGAGTATGATGTTACCTCTGGTGTGCCGATGTACTTTCTGGTATCACGTATACCACCAGTCTGGACACGGCCGATTGAGTTGATGCCTTTATCCCAAGCATCTTCAATGTGATCTTGCATCTTCAGAATAGTCGGCAGCCGTCCTGGGAATTCTTCGTAGCCTTGAGCCTTGGCGCCTTGGATGTAGGACAGCAGCATTTGTATGTTCCGGTAACCGCAAAAGCCGCCTTCGCTTGGAGTTTTACCGACGTGGAGTGTCGATGGATGACAGTAATATGCTTCCTTCACGGTCCGATCAAGAGCAGATAGTTGCGCGAGGATGGGAATGATGCCTGGCGTCTCGTTCTGCACCTGATCATGCTTGATGAGGCGGCCATCTCGGCCGATGCGGTTGACGGCAGTGATCTTGGGGCCGGCATCCAGCTGATCGTGCAGCCACCTAGGCATTCGATTCTCCCAAGCGTAGGGTCCCAGTTCGGTTTTCTGCGGAGATTAGCTAGGCCCGGTCAAAAGGACGATCAACTTACACCCAGCCGAGCACTTTTGATCGGTGGCTTGACGGACTTGTCGGGTTTCGCAAAAGGATTGAAGCCTAGAATACTCCTTCCGATGATACTCTTCTCGCTCTCATCGGTGTCGCGCCGATGCCGATGTGGGTGCTTCTTCGATTTGCGGCCGTGAGCATCAGTCCTCTTCAAAGCATCTGACAAGTCTGTGCTGAAACTTCGCTCGGATGTTGTGGTCCTTGCCTGACTCGCATGGGAACGACGAGATGAGGTCGAGCCTTGCATAGTAGCGGATGAATGATGAGAATGATACTTTCCTGTAGTCTCGTCAAATGATAAAGTTTCTGCGTTGTGGTATTCGAGATGGTCGTTGAAGTCGGAGAGAGCAACGACTTCGCCGCAGTTGGGGTCAGGGCACACTGTAGTGCTTTCCTCGTCTTCCGAGTCGTCGGAGGAAGTCGTGTCCTCAGTGTCGTGGCGGAGCGAGGAAGGCCTGAGGGGCAACGAAGGGGGTAACGGTTCTGGGTCGTCTTCTATCACGAAAGGAGAGTTCTCGGTATGCACTTGCTCAAAGTGTAGTTGGAGAATGTAGTCATCTTTCTGAAGCACGGTGAAGTCACACATGGGACACTCCAGAAGCTCCATCTTGCTCGTCATCGCTGTGCAGGTGATATCCTGCGTGTGAAGGCGTCCAGCACTTTCCTGCCCCAGGGATGTATGGTGAGTGACAATTTGGGGTGACTCGTTGTTCACGTGTATGAAAACCGTTACCTCGTGCGTATACGGCTGACTATGTTGTGGCAGTCGCTGTGGGCTTCCGTGGCTTAGCATGACGAACGCGGTTCAGACGCAGACGAAACAGCAACCCACGAGTTTGGTAGACTGCACACATACTGGAGACTCGCTTATGAGGTAAAGGCGTTGTTTGCAAGGAAACGATGGCGTTGGCGGTGAAGATCAAGCCGGGGTGGACGTGAAGAAGGTGCGACGCTCGTGGATAGCCGAAAGAGGAACACAAACAAACACGCCAAGACGCGTGACGCGATATCAGTTGCAAGCTTGAACTTAGGATGCGAGTTCAATGCAAGCTACGTCTATGGTATATCGGTGTGAAGATGATGGGTGTGGCTAACAAGTGGGTCGCAGCGAGGCGGTCAGCCGCGCATGATATTGGCGGTTGGACTGGCATGGCTGCTGGATCTTCACAGCTTTTCAAGCGCGTAGTATTTGAAGACTGGCACATGTCGGAAGTTCGCAACGATTGTTATAGGTGAAGTGTCACGCTACGTACAAGTGATGGGGATTCAAACGGTCAAGTCGCCTACGTCATTAAGCCGCCAAGACTTCAAGGATAGCATGTGCGGCGGGTCTTGCGATGTCCGCAGACCTTCTTCCCAATGCTGCTCCGGACCCCGCGCGCACGTCGGATTGCCTGGGACAACGCGAATCGCACGCAATGGCGAAGAACACCGCTGCGATGCTATTCTTCAGCCACTTCAGCGGATCCGCCATGGTTCCAAGAGCTGCGCACCGAAATGTTGCAGCGAGATGCCATACACCTTCCTGAGTTCATCGCCACTCCGCACGAATTCAAACTATCGCAAAGCATCACGGGTTTCTTACCCCAAGAATGGTGCTATGCCCCCGGTGTGCGTAGTCGCATGGTGCCGTTTGGCCATCACTTGATATGGTTCAATCCCGCGGTGCCGACAACCGAATTACTCCCAGATGGAACAGACGCGTCGCAGAGCCCGGGCGGGCCGTGGGTGCGTCGTATGTGGGCTGGCGGCTCGATACAAGTACGACCCGACGAGTATTACGACCGTAACCGCGGCTTTAGAGTCGAATTTCCCATGTCTGGGACGGAGCACATAAAGCATGTCCGACTGCATGGAGAAGGCGACACTGCCAAGATCTTTGTCACGATCGAGCGGCGTTTTGCACGGGTGGACATCGTTGGGAGAGCGTACAACGCGAAGCATGGCAGATTGGGAAAGAATGGAGGTAAAAAACTAAAGACTTATCTCGAGCAGCAGTTGCGAGACGGCGACGATTGTGGCGACGCCATCGTGAAGGAGGAGCGTAACCTGGTCTTTTTCAAGGAGCGCCCCGCTGCCGAATTGGAGGCAGTCAAGGCCGGGCAGATGGCCGCCGTGAAGTATCTGCAGCGTGCGTACTCTGACAACCCTCTCGACTATTTACTGACTCTATGTAGCCCCTGGGAAGCCAGACTTCTCCCACGCCCTCACTCCCGACCGCGCCCTTCTTTTCCGCTTCTCTGCTCTTACCTTCAACGCCCATCGCATACACCTCGATCCCGAGTACGCTCGTAACGTCGAAGGCCACCGCAACCTGCTAGTTCACGGTCCTCTGTCCCTGCTCCTCATGTTGAAGACCGTGAGCCATTACGTGTATGCACAGACCGGGGGAAAGCATGATCTGGAGTCAATCGAATATCGCAATCTAGCGCCGCTGTACTGCGACGAGGAGATGCGCATATGCGGCTTGGAGAAGAAGAAATTGCAACACGGCAGTATATACGATGTATGGATTGAGGGGCCGACTGGAGGTGTTGCTGTCAAGGGCACTGTTTACACCACAGTAAAGAATACTAAGCCGAAACCGCTGGGACCCGGGTCTAGGAGGCCAGACATCGTAGCACTCAATGCTGCCGCCAAGAAGACGCCAAAAGCGCAAGAGCCTACCACGACTCCTGAGTCCTCGACGGGTTCTGAGCCTGTATCTCAACCCCAAGGTGAGACTCCAAACAACTCCACTCCCAGTAAAACTACCTCTCAACCATCACCTAGAGAAGTAAACCCACCTACCGCACAAACAACAAGCCGAGCGTCCCGTCGCAAGCGCGCCTCCAACACCACGGCCTACAACTTCATTTCCCTCCCTCCCAGCAAAGCACCGTCTGCTCGCGTCGTCGACTCGTACAAGCCAGTAAAACCGACGATATCGATACGTTCAAGGGAAATCATACGACGCGCTCGTCGGCGTGCCCCGAAGGAGATTCGCGTCAAGCCTATACCGCTGGTTCGCAGGTTCGATGCGACACCGTATACCCCAGACCCTGTTCGCACGGCTTCGAGACACAGCAGATATTTGAGGGAGGGCGCTAGGAAGATCGAGAAGCCTAGTGTTCGCTTTGTTGCGGAGCAGCTGTCGGAGCGTGCGGCGCTGAGGAAGAGGATCGGTTTTAGATATGTGCATCGGTGAGGTTTTCGCTCGATGATGTGTCGCAACCACTGTATTATCGATCACTGAGTTGTATTGTATGCCCCTTTGTATATAACCAAATTCGACCTCAAGTTCCAAGCTTTTGTTGGCCCATTCTACTTTTGCATCATTGTGTTATGGGGCGGCTCCCGCTCAAATCCGGCCTTACACTCGCTGGTCGGTGAGATAATGTTAAGCATGAACCTGCTCCTCAGAACGCCGACGGAAGAAGAGGTTTGACCACGTCTTTCCCTTCAGAAAGCAAACAGAATGTATTACATGTCACCTAGTCACGTAACGTTCTTCTAGAAGTATGTATGATACGTAGACGCGTGGTCTAGATAGGCATCCAGACACTTTCATCCCCTCTCAAGATGAGCATGATGTTATGCTGTGCTCGCCATGCGATTATACACCAAATTAAATTCTAAACGCCGATTCCATGGGTATAGTGCTCCAACAGCGATCTGCCAAGTTCCAGAAAGTAAGAAAGAGTATGTACAATGTGTATAGGCGTGGGTATTGTAGCGCGTGCTGAAATGTCGGAAGGCATCGTTGAATGAGGGTATGCCGATGTATCACACGCGTGTTGAGCAGGAAAACACATTCGACTCCCATGAAACATCCTGCTGATCAACCTCTTTTAGTCCAGTCCTCTGTGAATGAATTGGAGATCGACAAGCGTTTCGATGCCCGTGAGGGCGTCCGAGATGGAGTACTGGTTGGTGAAAGCAGGGCATCGCCTCCTCTGTTGAAGGTATTGAACAGACCAGCGAGCTCTTCGTAGTCGTACAGCATGGGTGGATCAACAGAGTTGTGGTTGTCAGCAAAAACCTCAATGCTGCCCGTTAGCAGTTTTTCGACGTCGGCTCGCCACGAGCAGTGATCGATGATGTCCTTCAATCCGTTCTTGGCGCACAAATGGTCGTCCAACCACTGTAGACGAATCTTTTCCGGCAGTCCATCGTCAAATCGAATGAACTGAATGCTGAAGTGACGGCTACCTCCAGGTCGTTGTTCCAATCGCGCGATATCCAGGATGATCTTATCAAAGGTAGCGGTATTCTCATTTGACCAGACGCCGTCAGTCAGTACGAGAAGTGTTGTAGCTGGTTTGCCGGTTTGCTTCCATTCTCCAAAGATGGTTTGGAAAATCTGCGCCATGTCTGTAGTGGTGTTATCGTTCGGTTTCTGTTCTGGCCACGCTGCCTTCAAGGCTTTCTTCAGCTTCTTCCGACCCCGATCTCCTCTTAGGCGCTGCTGATCATGGGTGCGACCATCAACCGTGAACTTGACGTCGAATCCATCCCTATCCAGGCCAGCGGCGTTCATTGCGAGCGTTTGTGCGACGAACGTCACGATCGGCCAGTGCTTGCACATTGTCCACCCGTTATCGATAACTAACATCTGCAACATGTTAGCTGATTCTACAGAAGGTTTGCAATTAGCTTACAATCTCACGCGGGTCACTGAACGTGTCTTCAAGACTAGCATCTCGCGATCTGGTTTCAAAGCCCAATGTACTCTTCAGTTTAGTAAAGCCTTTGACTACACCCTTCGAGACCTGCTCTTCCATAGCCTTTCTTTTCAGGCAAATATTGTAGGGCAATTCCAGTGCAGACTGAGGAAGTGGCAGCGCAGAGTCATCGTAAGATCTCGCAGATGTAGGGTTGTGCAGAGCTTGCATCTCGGGAACGTGAGTGGATAGGTTGGGTGTCGCGGGTTGGTATTGCGACGACTGAGCATCTACCGCCGGTGAAACGATTACTGATGGCCGAGAGTTGCCAATAGTTTCAGTTTCACCTGAGGCCCCAATTTCCAGCTCTTCTACAAGTTTGTCGTCGAAAGAGGGGCTTGTAGGGCTTGTATCAAACGCTATAGGAGCTGATCCTCCGTAGCTCTGGCGATTGACGAGGTGGTCTATGGAGGGAACATGGTTGTGGGTGATCTTGTGTTCATGGGCGATGTTAATGGGTGTGAGTGGAGGAGACCCTGTTGTGTGTGCTTCTTTTTCGACCATGAAGTCGGAGTTCTGCAACGTAAGGTATTTGTCTTCGGGCGGAGATGGCGAAATCGAAGTACCGTGCGGCTGTACGAGACTGGTGGAGTACTTTGTAGATGGTGATTCTGCTTTTGGATCCTGCAAACTGAGTCTTCCCAAATTGGCGCTGGATCGTAATCCGACTCCGAATGAACTGCCTCGTGAGTTTGTAACGAAGGGATCGTTACTATAAGCCTCTTTACCAGCAATAGAAACTCGGTTATAGCGATTAGACGATGGTGGAGGTGTCCAGGGAGCGTTGCTTGGCATGATTGGACGTGCGGAGCTTGGTGGGTGGGGCTCCACGTCCAACTGACCTGGTTCAGACTTGTGAATTTGGGGATGTCTGGGCTTTATCTTGCGACCACCAAACTGCAGCCCTCTTGATGGATTCGAGTCAATCGGACTCTCCGTAACAGCACCGTTGTGAAGACCGGCGATGAGTGGCGAACTTTCGATTGTCTTAGTCCCATAACAGTCTTCGAGTTTCTCCTTCAAAATCTCTTTACGATGCGCCGTCTGACCGAGCGGTTTGTTCCTGATCAAATCTCCCTTCCTTATCTGCATCGATGCCCGCTCGCGAGGGTTGACCTGTAGTAGCGGTTGCTGTAAGAGGTTGGTTTGTGGTTCAGAAAACCTCTGGATCTGCGCTTCTTCCTCTATGCTTGAGAGAGCCTTCATGACCACAGGGTCAGTATCTTTTGAGTACTCTCTCAAGCTTCTGATATTGTATTTGGCGTAAGCACTTAGAGTTTTCAGCTCTTCGCAGAGCTCACTCAAGTTGCATCGTGCAGTCGGGACTCCTTGAAGGAGTTTCTCTTCGATCAAATGCAACACAGACTCTGTCGTAGTATCTGAAGATCGGAGATGTCCACGAAGATAATTATGCCACTTTTCTACCTCCGGTAGAACATCTGTGCCATTATGAAATCGATCTAGCACAAGGCCACCCACGTTGTTTGCCGGTGATAGCTGTCGGAGTCGTTGGTATTGGCGGATACCTTGGAATCCCAGAACTATCCACGTCGCAGCTAACGATAGTACACACCCGAACGACCAGGCGTCGATGGACTGAGACACTCCGGACATGGTTCCGTCTGGTTGCACCATGCGGGACACCTCGGGCGCACCTACAGATTCAGCACTTGTTTGTATTCTCTGCCACCACTCAGGCTTACCATAAGTGTTTGTATAACCACGTATCACGTCTGTTGGTTCTGAGCTGTCTTGACCCTCGATTACTGGCGCGAAGCTCGAAAATCCAAAGTCAGATAGTTTGAGCTGTCCACGCACACTGAGAATATTGTCCGGTTTGATGTCCGCGTGCCAACTTGCTTGTGTCAGCGATGATCGTTCCAAACGTATCAATGCACATACCCATGGAATCTCCAGGGCTCTCCGCTGCCTCGGGGAAACTCCGGATGATGAAGTTGACGGATGGCCTCGGCGACGTTGAACAAAGATTTCCAATTCTGAAGAATTTCTTGAGCCTGAACCGGGGGAATATTGGTTTCATCTGCCCATGCTTCATACAGGTCGTTTTCCCCGTATTCGAGCAATAAATTGTACGTCGTACCCATGTTTTCACCTTCACCATGATCATGAATGTAAGCTCCGAAGCATCTCACAATAGGAACCTGATCATTCGACGGTAAGGCAGAAAATGCAGCCTTTTCCATGTCGAAATCCTGCTTCTTATTTCCGCAGTAAGACTTGAGTACCATTTGGTAACACTGGGACTAGTTAGTTCGTTCCGTCAATTTGGTGCTAGGGAGCCTACTTCTCCATGAGTTTTGTCCATGTAGAGGGAGTCCTTTAAGGCTAGTGCGAGTGCGTCATCGGATACGAGAGCCTTTTGCACCGCGACCCAGTATATCGACGCAGTACCGCCTTTCTTGGGAAGCTTGATCTTCATGCAGAACGGAGGTATTACTTCCATCCCGCGTAAGTCGATAGACATGTCGGAAGTCAAAGTCAATGGGCAGAACTCCCATTTCTCTTTGTGGAAAGCATTGATGATGGGCTCTACTTCTTCTTTCCGCACGACATCAGCTAGCTGCTCACGAAGTCTCTGGTAATCTTCGCTGCGGTCCATGTAGTGGTCGTGCATATTCGCTTCGTAGAAACAGTCGATGAGTCGATCGCGTTTTTGTCTGATGAGCAGGCTGAGGATGCGGAGGCGAGACTGTCCGCCGCCAAAGATTTTCTTTGGCGTAATTGGTAGATTGCGACCAGGAAGAAGGGGCAGTCCGTACACGAATTGTTCCCAATTTGTATTCTTGGGGTTTCCAGAGGCTGGCTTCTTCCACCAGGCTTCGAGATCGTGAACGTGCACAATCGTGCGCTGGCAGCTGCAAGACTCAGGTGGGTGGCATTCGTTCTGACACGCTACTTGACGTGTCCATTCTGTCTTCAACAAGGCCATGAACTCGTCCCGGATGGGCAGAGATGGAATCTGCTGGTAGTTTGCGCCTGACATTTCGACGTGGTCCCAACCAAAGATCAGGCTGTGAAGGCCTTATGGGCAGAGATGCATCGCACAAGGCTGAAGTGGGGTTAGGTGCGCTGGTGCTGATTTTGCGTCCAGTGGTCGTTGCGTCGGGCTCGAACGGGTCGCGCAACGCATGCGCGCAGTGAAGTCTAGAAGAGGCCAGAGGAGATGAGAAGCAGTAAGTTGAGATGGCAGAGTCTCAGTGGCGCGAGCAGGGTACATATTAACTACGATTGAGTATTACCAGCCTCGAGCCGCTGATGACAGGGCCAGGCTGAGGCCGCGCCAATAGATGCTTGGAGGACCTTCGTGGCTGCAGCGAGCTGATGCTGTCCATCCGAGATCGAGGCACAAGGCAGAGTATGTGCACAGCCACTAGCACATTGTCGCGTCGGCTGTGCGCTCGAAATTCGACAGGAGCACGCTCTTATTGGGTTGCGGTATGCGCTCTCCGGAAGCTGCGCCATAGTATGTATGAGAAAGAGGTGTTGAAGAAAAGATGTGGGCATGGGAGGCACGGGAGGTTTCCCGCAGCGCTGAACGCCTGTTCGCTAAGCCCCACCGACCCCACCTTCCGTGCCTGCCTGCCCCCGACCACCCCATTCAAAGGAAAAGCCGAACACCCTAGAGCCTACATCAAGATAAAAGCTTGCGAAGTTGGTAGCCTAACGGCGACGTAGGCTCCTAGGTGTTCAGTTTTTCCCTTGTATAGGGTGCGACGGCGGCTGCCCCCCGTGACCGAGTGTCAGCTCATGAGATCGCGGTCTGACACATATTGCGCAAAACTATGATACGGTGCACGCTCTAAGATGGTAGGCCAATGTTGAAGGCTGCCACATAAGAAAAATCGAAATCACCCAAGGTCCATCTTACTCAATACCCCGCATATACACCCGTCAACCATGTTTAGCTCCACTACCTTCATATCGAGGGAGGACAGCACGACTATTTCCGAACTTGTGTACACCTGAAGCGAAACGAGATATTGAAGCCCCCATCCGCTTGACTGAGCCTTCGTTGGTAGCATTAGTCGTGCCAGGGCGATCGCCGGATGGCATTTGCACATAGGTACCTGCTTCTGCGGGCGTGGTACTCAGTACTGCACGTTTCAGGCGCTCGAGAAATGTCGAGTTCTTTGCCGATACGCTATAGAAACGGAAGGTCAACCATGCACCAAACAGCGTAAGAGCAGTCAGTGGTATGGTAACTTGGAGCCATCGCTTCAAGGCGAGGTTCGAAAAAGAGCCATTGTCGTAACTAGCAGATTCACGGTTCTGGTCTTGGTACTTGACAATGTCGGTGCTGAAAAACGTCTGCGATTCATTAGAGGAAGCGCTCACAACGAGAGCATCGACTTACTGAGACAAAAGTAGCCGGAAGATAGATCAGAGTCAGAATGGTGATGATCCGCATGACAACCGTCTCCCGTTCGAGATTCTTGTTCAGCTGTTCCGTTCGGTCCGAGACTTGACTCTGCAGATGCTGCAATACAAGCTGCTTTCTATCGCTTATGATGTTCGCTAGAAGCTTTGCTCGGGCTAGTTGCATGTCGAAGTCCGCAGAGATCTCGTTGAGCTGGGATATGAAGGCGGCAAGGTGCTCTTCACAAGACGTCTTCAGGGCATCAGGAAAGTCCTTGCGGGCAATCAGGTTTGAGTAGAACCTGCACAAGGCCCTCAGGACTTTCGCGTTAGCGTCGAGCACCATCACAACCTCATTAGTTTTGTCGTGCCAATGTTGCAGATCTTGAATATCCCACCACTGATATTGTCTGTATGCATGATCGGGGCCGCGAAGCCCATCGACTGCCATTCCACTCTAAAAGCCGTGACGTCAGCATTGGATGAGAAGACTATGTGCGTAGGGGGACACTCACTTCTTGCTCAACCACCCTTTCAAGCCAGACGAGGTACCTTCTCCAGTTCTCAGTCGACCATTGGCAGTAAAGCAGGTGAGTCGCCAGAGATGATCTGAAACAGGCTGCTGTGTCGCTATAGCTCTCATTGTCTGATTTAGCGGCGGGCCTAGTGAGTTCTTCGTAGCGGTCGCGTAGGTCCATGCTACCTTTGGTGACGATCCACAGCGTGGTCCCGAATTCCACATCGAATTGATGATGAATAGCAGCATCTCGGATGGACCATTCGTCAAGCTTGATGTTTTCGATACTTGTTTGTTTGGGTTGTACCCCTTTCAAGTTGTAGCAGAGTTGGAAATGTTTGCCGCTTCGTCCTAGATTAGGAGCTGAATGTCCGCTGAAAGGGAGTTTGAGGCGAATTTGCTCACGAAAGCCACTGAACCGAAGGTCTCTTGCATCACTCTGTGCCCCAAACACCATCATGAAGTCCAGGTACCCTGACATGACCTGATGGTATGATAGGATCTGACAGAGACTGTTCCTGGTGATTTTCAATTTGTCTCGCGAGTTCTGGCCGTAGAAGTAACTGTGTTATTAGCGTAGAGAACTCATTAGAAGAGAGCTAGAGCATACATGAATCTGCACCGTGGGTCTCGTTTTCGAGCCACAACCTGTTGTACGATGGGATTGACTGTGTCTTGCACGATCTCCACCCCGAGCCATTCCGTGACTTTACCTGGGTTATGTAAGTTCCGCTTCATGCGTGCTGCTTCAATTAGCATTTCTTCGAACAGAGGAAGTCTTAACAAACCTTTTCCATCAGCAGTGCCTATGTCGATCACTGGAATCTCGAAAGTATCGTCAACATTATCGTGCTTATCCGTGAGACACAGATCATGCTCGACAACATCGAGAAGGCTCTTGTAAGAAGCGAGCTTGTTTTGATTCGAGAGGATTTCGTTAGGCATGAGATTTTGTGGATAGTCGCTGCTCTTACTGTAGGACTTCTGGAATTCCACTGACATAGCACACGCCATCTTGAAGGTCTGGAGAAGCACAGATATGAAGACTGTTGCTAAGTGCAAATCGAGAACGCCGTAGGGTGACCATGTTTATGAGTTCAGTATGTGGATAAGATATCCTCGAGAGGCTGACAGTGGCTGATTCGTCACGGCTGTGTGAAGTTTCAGTAGACATGAATCGCTAATTTCGTCAGGGATCACCGCCACGGCTTACTTGGGTATGCAAGCCCCTCACTGTCAGCGATGCAACGCACGAGGACTCAAAAATCAACCTTGCCAATCATGCGCCATCAAGATACTGTGGTAAAACTTGCATTTGCCTTTAAGAGGCTGAATTTTGCCCCTCCTCTCGCTCGGGTGAGATCGAGGCTCGCCGCGTCCTCTTAGGCGCATCTCTCCTGTTCCTCAGCTCTCTTCGATCGCCCTAAACAGCTCAGCCTCCATTGCAAACAAATTAGGCAAATGCACGAAAAGCACGAGACTTACCTCCGTTAGTTCCTCAGGCACCTCGAAAACCCACTTGTCGTTGAACTACATGACTGGTGAGACTAACTTCTCCAAGATAAAGACGTGACGTACCCTCTGCGGCTTAAAATCCCACTTGGGCCATTTGACTCTGAGAAATTCCTCGATCTTCTGCCATGGAAAGTCGTCGTATGCTGAGTATGTGTCTTGGATACGGTCGCCTCTGCTTGCCGATGGGAGTGTAGGCCTGCGCTGAGCTTCGCGCGCCTCTTTCAATGCTAGGTCGGCTGGTCGAGGGCCATGAGGCGCCATCTAGGTGTATGGTGACCGCGATATGATCAGGCGCAATGGCATGCAATGCCCACAGTACAAGTCGTGCTTCTTGAAGTCGGGCGGTAGGCTGACTATTGTCGCGATGAAACTCCTGCACTGCTTTTCCTAGATCAGGCGCGAAAGGCTGAGAACCAAACTATATACGTTCCCATGCGAGCGGCATCAGCCTTATGACTCCATCTCGAACGGATCTGGGGGAGATGCGGGTCACCACATTGAAGCTGGTGTCAAAGTATGTCCTGCATCACGGATGCGGGTGCTTGGGAAGTCGGCAAATCCTGGAGCTTGACGTGTCGATGTGATCACAGTGCTGCTAGGCAGCTATGCACCTGAGAGTTTGGGTCTAGTAGCCTAGCTTGCCTTCTTTTGCCTGCTTTGCCTGGTTGGTCGCTCGACTATGCCATTGGCCAGCCGCTTCAGCCACCCCATATGCATGTGCATCACGCTGCATGCGTGCGCTTGGAAGAAAATAGTTCGAGGTCTCGATGCTCAGGCAGAGCCGCATTGTGTGATCAGCAGCATGCTACTCGAAGACGCCCCAGTCTACGTTTCTAGACAGTGCGGCAATTCACAGCTGTAAAATGCGACTTCTCATCGCAGCACACGCGCTGACGTCACAGTCGTGCAGCTGTGAAGACATCATGCGTGACAGAGAACGTGAAGTATTCAGCGTCTCTTAACCCAATCTTCTCAACATTCCCTTGGAAGCTACCATGTTGCAGAGCACGAGGAGATACACCCGAGAATTACGGGTGAGAGAATTGCGCAGCTCCGAAACCTGCTCAACAGCAAGCTCGCAACTTCGCGAGGTTCGTTTACCACGACAACAATTACCTCCGCCTGAGCCAGCGTTCGCGCCTACACCTGCGTGGGCCCCATAGCAAATGGATCCAACTCGACTTACGCCTCCAGCATCTGGTACAGGCGGAGGAGGCAACGGCGGCGCTGCAAGTCAGAAGACCTTGACGGCAGAAGAGAAGAACCGGTGCCCATACGGCGACACACGCTGGCCTCCTGCTAATATATCGATATCCAAGCCTCTACACTTGTTGAGCGACGAGAGTGAGGAGCCAATATACTACCACTTGATACACGAAAACAACAGCCCCCAAGTCGAGTTCTGGAAGGGCCCGGTGAAGGCTCAAGCCATTGCCGCCTACGCAGAGAAGGGCCTTGCTTTACCGATATCGAAAGAAGGGATGAGTAAGAAGGAAATCAAGGCTGTAAAAGAGAGAGCGCTTGAAGATGAAGCGCCGAGAGCGAAGACGGAAATTGAGCAGGCTAGGGATACGAAGATGCTGAAAGATTTGAGCAGTGGACCCAGGGGAACACTCTGGCAGCTTGACGAAGAGCATCTGCACGTTTGGCGATGTATCGAGGTGGTCCAGAAGGTGCATGGGGCGGTGAGCCTTAGTGCCGAGCGGCGGGAAATATTTTCGATGTTCGGTGTTGGCCTCAAGCGCATCGATGGTGATATGTTGTTGGTCAGCCAGGAGGCGTAGGCACCTAGCTAACCCAGAGGGATCGGTTGTAGTAGGGTCAATGCACACAACGCTCATCCCCGATAATTGAGTTCCACGCAAAACCTTTGTGTACCTGCGCTCCAGTAGAAATCTCAGGCGCTGACAAACGTAAAACGTGAGGCTGGCGATGGAGTTATGGAACGAAAGCCGAGGCTAGCTCGCGGACGTGGTCATAGCGCCTTCTCGATGATTCCAATCGTCGAGCGACCCAAATTTTTAGAGGCATCGAACATCTGCGACCACTCTTCTCCGCATCCTCCTCTACATCCACACTATTCCTGGTTATCTTGCATAAAGCTGGAGTCTAGGAGCAACATTTGAGATTCCTTTTTCCCTACCTACACATCCCAATTCCGTCACAATGCAAAGAGCTTTCGCATCGCGGGCGCGGACTTCGGCCCTCAACTCGAGCTCTAAGCTCCGGTCCACCAGCTACAACCTGCAGCAGCAGAGGTTTGCGCACAAGGTACGGCAATTGCATACCTCCATCGTAATAAAGAAAAAGACTCAAAACTAACAATTGGTAGGAACTGAAGTTCGGCGTCGAGGCACGAGCAGGACTGCTGAAGGGTGTCGACACACTTGCAAAGGCCGTATCAACAACACTGGGTCCCAAGGGTCGCAATGTATTGATCGAGTCGAGCTACGGCTCGCCCAAGATCACCAAGGGTATGCACGAGTTCCGCCGCCATCCTTAACTTCGCCCGCTGACATCATTCCAGATGGTGTGACAGTCGCAAAGGCTATTTCCCTCCAAGACAAGTTCGAGAACCTCGGAGCCCGTCTGCTCCAGGACGTCGCCTCCAAGACCAACGAGGCTGCTGGTGACGGTACCACCACTGCCACCGTCCTTGCCCGTGCCATCTTCTCCGAGACTGTTAAGAACGTTGCCGCCGGATGCAACCCCATGGACCTGAGGCGGGGTACCCAGGCCGCTGTCGAGGCCGTCGTTGAGTACCTCAGGGCGAACAAGCGGGACATCACCACCAGCGAGGAGATTGCGCAGGTTGCCACCATCTCCGCCAACGGCGACACACACATTGGCAAGCTTCTGTCCAACGCTATGGAGAAGGTCGGAAAGGAGGGTGTCATCACCGTCAAGGAGGGCAAGACCACCGAGGACGAGCTTGAGGTCACCGAGGGTATGAAGTTCGACCGCGGATACATCTCCCCCTACTTCATCACCGACACCAAGACCGCCAAGGTTGAGTTTGAGAAACCTCTCATCCTCCTCTCCGAGAAGAAGATATCCGCTGTCCAGGACATCGTCCCCGCTCTCGAGGCGTCCCAGCAGCTCCGCCGTCCTCTTGTCATCATTGCTGAGGACATTGACGGCGAGGCGCTTGCCGTCTGCATTCTCAACAAGCTCCGTGGTCAGCTCCAGGTTGCTGCTGTTAAGGCTCCCGGCTTCGGTGACAACCGCAAGTCCATCCTTGGCGATCTCGCTGTCCTGACCAACGGTACCGTCTTCAGCGACGACCTCGACATCAAGCTCGAGAAGGCCACCCCCGACATGCTCGGTTCCACCGGATCCATCACCATCACCAAGGAGGACACCGTCATCCTTAACGGTGAGGGCAGCAAGGACCAGGTCTCCCAGCGCTGTGAGCAGATCCGTGGTGTCATCAACGACGCTACTACTTCTGAGTACGAGAAGGAGAAGCTCCAGGAGCGCCTGGCCAAGCTCTCTGGTGGTGTTGCCGTCATCAAGGTCGGTGGTTCCTCCGAGGTTGAGGTTGGTGAGAAGAAGGACCGCATCGTCGACGCTCTGAACGCTACCCGTGCCGCCGTTGAGGAGGGTATCCTGCCCGGTGGTGGTACTGGTCTCCTTAAGGCCTCCGCCAACGCTCTCGGTAACGTCAAGGCTGCCAACTTCGACCAGCAGCTCGGTATCACCATTGTCAAGAACGCCATCACCCACCCCGCTCGCAAGATTGTCGAGAACGCTGGTGCTGAGGGCTCCGTCATTGTTGGCAAGCTCATTGACGAGTACAAGGGTGACTTCAACAAGGGTTTCAACAGCGCCAAGGGCGAGTACGTTGACATGATCGCCGCCGGTATCCTCGACCCCTTCAAGGTTGTCCGCACTGCTCTCGTTGACGCCAGCGGTGTTGCCTCGCTCCTCGGAACTACCGAGGTCGCCATTGTCGAGGCACCCGAGGAGAAGTCTGGACCTCCAGGCGGCATGCCTGGCGGTATGGGTGGTATGGGAGGCATGGGCGGAATGGGCTTCTAAACACCTGAAGCCTAGCCGTCTGTTTTCTTCTTCTTATACCCCCATTCCGATATAATGACTTTAGTCTTATGCCTTTCCCAGCGATGATTTATGTACACGATATTGGGTTGGTCTCCGCTCTTCACTCATGATTTCTCAAAAGCGCAGCATTGTTGGATATTTGGTTTTTATTGTACAATATTGTGTAAGGATCTCCTGGGAAGGACAAGATGTATAAAGCGACGAAGGAAATATGAACAAGTTCAAACGAGTTTTCGAGATGCACAACACATGCGTGAGTTATGAATGCTGCAAGTAATAGGATTGGTGGGTCACCTCATACATGAAAAAAACCGAACACTTGCCTCCTAGAAGTCTACATTACCTTGAAGAATATGTTAAGTTCAACCCTTGTACTAACGTGCACGGCAGAGTACCTGTTCAGCCTGTTCCTTGTACGAGGTGGGATGCTGTGACGACTGACAGGGCGTTGCTGTGGCGGCAGAGCCAAACTAAACCTTGTAACGTGTCTGGTATCGTGCCGTGCTCCAGGGCTTGAAGGAACCCCACTAGGGTACGTGCATCGAGAAAACCCCACCCCACCTGCCACTACTCGCTCAGCCTCAGCAATCACACTCTCCTCCTCCGCCTTTTCTCCCGCAAACACATCAACTATCCACCCAGATCAGTTTTCTCTATTGACGTAAGCTGCCACCTCTCCAGGGCCGAACAGGCTGCCATTCCTTCACTGCTGCATGTCCGCACGCGGCAATCGCAACGATGACGACGCTGACAGGCAACCACAGTACTGATAAAGCTACCTGGCGCCTCGACCCCCCTCTAGCATCCTCTACCTTACACATCCGACATTATGGTGAGAACATCAGAGATGCGTTATTAGGGAACTCGAACTAACAACGGATACAGGCTCAATCCGGGTACGTACTGCAAAACAAACAACAGGGCATCAACAGCTGTCGCTGCCCGACGACCGCGCCCGCATAGCTTCCCCTGCCTCCACCACCACCCCGATACCCGTCTCGCGCACCCCTCTATCGGCTCCGCACGTACTAACCACGACGCAGTGTCTCCGTCTCGCCCGAGTGCATCAGCACCTTCAACGAGCTCAAGCTTGGCAAGGACATCAAATGGATTATCTACAAGATCAGCGACGACTGGAAAGAGATTGTCGTCGAGGAGACTTCCAAGGAGGCCAACTTTGACGTCTTCCGCGAGAAGCTGCTCAACGCCAAGAGCAAGGACCGCAAGGGCAAGGAGGGCATTGGCGGTCGCTACGCCGTGTTCGACGTCGAGTACGAGCTCGAAAGCGGAGAGGGCTCCAGGAGCAAGATCACTTTTATCAGCTGGACGCCAGATGATGCGGCGCAATACGTACGTCAATACGACGGGAAGTGGATTCATTGGGACAGAACAGCTAACGATTGACAGCCCCGCATGATGTACTCATCCTCCAAGGAAGCCATCAAGCGCGCCCTCAACGGTCTCGCCGCCGATATCCAAGCCAACGATGCCGACGACATCGAGTTCGAGAGCATCAAGAGCCGTGTCTCCAAGGGCCGCTAAGCGCCTCTCGCCCGACCTTCCCTTCCGACCTGTCGATTTCGCGCACCTGTTAGTATGGAGGAAGGAACGACTGCGGTTGGTAATGATATGAAATGAAAACGATTCGAGCGGTTGATTGGCAGCGGTCATGGCATAGCGAGCTTTTGCGCATGATGATTACAGACGAAACATGCGATATGTGGGCAGTGATAGTGCTGGGTGTAACTTGCATTATCAGGCTTGGTATGCTTTTGATAGGCTAAACTGGTCAAATTGTCGTCGATGGACAGCTCTGTGTTGGAAGCTTGCATGATGTGACGTGCGCGGTGTTTGTTGTGATGTTGTTTTCGGGTATCTGCGAGTGCAATTGTATGGCTCCAGCAGCTATGCCAAATCCCTACTTGTTCTGCTCCCACGCTCCCCTGAACACGCCTAGTAACCTCTCACTCTCCTCCGCGTCCTTAGTCCTCTGAAGCACAAAGTTCTTGAGATCGCCCCAGAACTCGTCTGTCGCAACGACTTCCCTCCCATGACCAAGTGGCGCATCTGCGGCACCAGTCGCTGTGCCCGCAGCTGTCTCTCCAGCGCTAGCAAGCCCCTTCTCGCTCTCCGTCGGCGGCGCAACAGCAGGCGGGCTCGTCACCGGTGTCCCTGCCGACGCCGGACTCGCAGCCCCACCAACAGCAGCGCCAGCCATGACCATAACCCCAAACTCGATTTCACTCCCCGCATCTGTGCCTATGACTTCCAACAGTGTCTTTGAATCTGTGACGGGCTTCTTCTTGTACAGAATCTTTATTTTGGCTGCTGATAACGAGGCTTGTGTCGCGTACTGTTGCTTGAGGTCGTAGACGGAGGTTTTGGATGGGTCGATTGAGCTGAGTGGGATGGTGGGTGTGGTTGGCTTCATGGGTTTGAGTGTCACGGAGATTGACGAGGAAGAGGGTGTGGAGGCATCGTCGCTGGTGGTGGGTTTGGGGTTTGGCCGTTGCGGGTGGGGTGGGTGTGGGAGGCGGGGGAGGGTGTACTGGTCGGTCAGTTAGTATTTGACAATCATGTATGTGGGCTTTGTTACTGTGGAGGATGGGCTGCGAGGACTTACTGCGCCTTGTGCGGGATATTGGCGTGCGTCTGCAATGTGATCGCTGGAGAGCTTGGGCGGGCGGGCGTCTAAGGCGCTGAGGAATGATTTGCAGAATGCGAGTTCTGACATGATGGGTATCAGGAGGTTTCCTGGATGCGAGTTTGGGTAGTGTATCGGTATCGTGGGATTGCGCGCCGGTCGAAGATGTGTATAGCTCCCGTGCGATGACGCTGTTGGTGTTGCGGGACAGTGGACCGCAGCAGCTCGACCAGGGCAAAGAACGCGCTAAGCCCAAAGGAAGTCCGCTAGCGTGGAAAAAGTTCCAAAGTGCTAGCGAAAGTTCGGTGTTCGCGCTGCTGGTTCACGCTGCCATCTCTCAGTAATTCGACCTTTTTGTCTTACCGCCCACTAAACACCTGCGGGATAAATCTGTCGCCATGGGTCAAGGTCGCCGTATGAAGAAGCAGGGCATGCCCGATGTCCTCGACGAATCGCTAGTTACGAGGAAGCGAAAAGATGCGCCCGACGCCGTGAACCCGGAGCGCAAGAAGAGGAGCAGGACAGCTGCAAGGGAAGCTAAAGAGGCCAAGGCCAAGTTGGTACCCAAGACGAGGGTAGCTGGAAAGCCCGTCAAGCCTGTGAAGCAGCCTCTGAAGACGGCTGCAGCTGTCGTGAACGGAGCGAAAGCAAAGGCAAAGAAGGCGGCGCCTCTACCACCTTCGGACGATGAGGATGACATGTCAGACATTGAGGATTCCGATATGGAGAACATCAACGTTACCGGACTTGATGCGCTCGGTAGCGCATCCGAAGGCGAAGACGACGAAGACATGGACGATGACGACTTTGGCTCCGACGTTGTGGATTCGGATGACGATATCAGGCGAGGCGCGGCCATGTGGTCAGACGATGATGACGAGGAGGACGCCGAAGAGAAGCTCACAGCCGCCAACATTGCTGGTCTGTCTACGCGATTGGACATGCAGAAGGCGATTGAGGATGCGGAGGCGCAAGCCGAGTTGGAGGAGAGCAACATGCAAACCAACATCGTCGCAGAGAGGCCCAAGATTCTGGAGGACGAGGACGAGGATGGCAGGCCGATCACAAATCTCGTCAACCAGGACATCCAGCTGTTGCGCACACGACTTACCGACACTATCCGTGTACTGGACGATTTCAAGAACCTGGCTGAGGAGGGGCGAAGCAGGGCGGAATACAGAGCGTCGCTTTTGAAGGACATCTGTGCTTACTACGGTACGTTTATGTTGCATGAGACTCCTACATCTGCGCATACTAATACTATTGACAGGCTACTCCGAATTCCTAGCTGACAAGCTGCTCAACCTCTTCCCACCTCGCGAAGCGCAAGCCTTCTTCGAAGCCAACGAAACCCCCAGACCAGTCGTTATCCGAACAAACACCCTCCGAACACACCGAAGAGAACTTGCGCAAAGCTTGATCAACCGCGGTGTACAACTTGAGCCCGTTGGAAAGTGGTCTAAAGTTGGTCTGCAGATTTTCGATGCGCAAGTGCCGCTCGGAGCCACACCTGTAAGCCTGGCATGTAATGAATGTTTCGAACCATTACTAACCCTTTGTAGGAATACCTCGCTGGACACTACATTCTCCAGGCCGCTTCCTCGTTCCTGCCCGTTATGGCACTGGCACCTCAAGAAAACGAGCGCGTGCTAGATATGGCTGCTGCTCCTGGTGGAAAAACAACACATTTGGCGGCTTTGATGAAGAACACTGGATGCATCTTTGCCAACGATGCCAACAAGGATCGTGCCAAGGGTCTGATAGGAAACATCCACCGTCTAGGCGCGAGAAACGTTATCGTCTCCCACTACTCGGCTCTTGAGTTCCCTAGGGTCATGGGTGGTTTCGACCGTGTACTTCTTGACGCTCCTTGCTCTGGTACAGGTGTCATCGCCAAGGATGCCAGTGTCAAGACCAACAAGACCGAAGCCGACTTCATGAAGCTACCCCATCTCCAGAAGCAGCTGTTGCTCGCCGCTATCGACTCTGTCAACCACCACTCGAAAACTGGAGGATACATCGTCTACAGTACCTGTTCAGTAACTCTTGAAGAGAACGAGCAAGTCGTTCAGTACGCATTGAACAAGCGACCGAACGTCAAGCTCGTAGAGACCGGCCTCACCTTCGGTAAGGAAGGATTCACCAACATCGGCGGCAAGGCCTTCCACCCCTCGATGAAGATGACAAGGAGATACTACCCCCACACATACAACGTCGACGGTTTCTTCGTCGCCAAGTTCAAGAAGATCGCGCCTACCCCGCCCAACGCCGTCGGCGTCAACGAATCCTCAGTTGCAAAGGCCAAGAATACCGCCAACCCCAACGCCCCAGCCACCGGACTCGAGATCGTCGATCGTCGGCCCATCGAAGCGGACAGCGACGATGAATCAGACTTTGGTGGCTTCGACGAGGATGAGGACGAGAAGTACATGGAGAAGGCTAAGGTTAAGACAATGCGCAGGAAGGGTAAGGACCCTAGGGCTGTTGTGCCAAAGGGCGAGAAGGCTGCAAATGGCACTGCTAAGGAAGCAACAAAGGAGACCGCTAAGGAGTCGCCCAAGAAGCCCGCTAAGGAGGCGACCAAGGAGTCGCCCAAGGAGATCGCAAAGGTCAAGAACGGCGACGTTAGCGCAAAGGAGAAGGCAGGCAGGAAAGAGAAGAAGGGCGGTGGTATCGAAGTCGCGTCTACACCCAACGGCGTCAGCGCGAAGGAGACCAAGGTTGAGTCTAAGAAGGCGCGGAGAAAGAGTGGTGATAAGAACAAGGCATAGTGGGGTTTTGAAGGCAGGAAGCACAAAAGCAGGAGTTTGGGCTCTCACTAGATACCAATGCATGCTCGGAAGAGTTTTGTTGTCGCCGAATTGGCTTTCGCGTCGATGTGTGGTGTTTTGATATTTTGTCAATGAGGCTGGATCGCTCTTGCATTTCCTTACTCTCGGCAAAAGATTTCGCGCCGGTCGCTGCTTCCGTCTCAAGACCTTGACAACAAGCCCACGTGCGTGGCAGCTCCTGCCTGTTACACGAGGAAAAGTTTGCATCGCTGTATTTCAAGCGGCTGTCTGCCATTACTCATGATGTCTGACTCGAAATTGCCTACTGCCAAAGAAGCTTGTTAGGTGGACATGTCACCACTGTTTTCAGCAGATCGTCACGATCGTCGCACCCTGGTGGAGATGCCCAACCAATCTTGCTAAACACACGAGCGGGCTCCTTCCCAGGATCTGGTAAGATGAGTTTGCCCACTGAGATCCAAATCCCGGGACCTGGTTCTGAAACCCTCTGCAGCCTCGATTGCAAACTCTGTACCTGCGCGATCGAGCTTCGATGCGCGGAAAACGTCTTCGTGGCTTCTAGCGATGCGTCGATGCCTCTGACGTACAGCGCCGCCAGTGCGCCCGTTAGACTCCGCAGCTACCCCGGAGTACCTCCACATTTCATCAACCTCAACCATCCTTCCACTTCCCGAAAATCAGCCTGGAAGAGAGACGTTCATCGTCGCAGTAAGACCGAGGTGACGGCACGGCACATGTCAGGCATGACCGCTCCGTCGACCACTCATCATCGACACCGCGATGCAGATGCTGCGCCGTAAGCACACGTCCCCGAGTCATCGCGTCGGTCCAAGCAATGCCGAGCACTGAACATCGAAGGGAAGCGAAAGGAAGCGAAGGCTTATTGGCTCAAGGGATTGTGCAGCAACTTCTACACAAGAGAACAACAACTGTCACGAGCACATATTCCAGGGCCCCCGTTTGACAGGACGACAAGAAAACATGACGCTGCATCCGACGTGTAGCGCTCTCATCTTCGCTGTGGTCATCTTGGTGTTGCGCGGGGAAAACATTTCTCTGCCAATGTTCAGCGCTCCGAGAATCATACCGACGAGTCTCCACTCTGGAGTTCCTGGGGTTGCAAGGAGACAATCGGCCCATCCTTTTTCTGACATGCCGAACGGTTGACGCGATCATTGGGAGCGGCAAACTTCTGGAAGAACGCGTCGCCTTGCCTGCAGAATGTGCGGCATTTCCTGCGTGATGGTTTTGCCATGGCACGCGCTCGTACCGGAAGGGGAGAATTGGCATAATGCTTTGCCCTTGAACATCGTCTGATTGAGCCACCACTTCGACAGTCCTTGTTCACTCTCGTGACGAACGTGCTGCTTGGACGATCGCGACAGGCTTCTATGATCGCTGTCTTGTCCTCAGCCTCCGACGTAAGTGGTGTGAGGGAAGTCAGCCTGCCGAGTACGGGGTAATAACCAACTGCGGTACGCTCCATGTTATGATGCGGGGCATACCATGCAAGAATGGTTGGCTTGGGAAACCGACTGGGATTAGCAACTTGTGATATGGCACTGAGGTGCAGCGGCATGGGACAAGGGTTTGTCGGGATCGCGAGCTGGATGGAGAGATGCTCGGAGCTTGCATCCTGAGATAAAGAGTGACTGCGCGCTCCATTGAACGGCTTGACTACGCGTCTCGAGTTTCGCGACATCGCCGATTGCCATCTCTAAGAAGTCAAATTGAACTTTGCCATCATGGGTTTCATGCTCAAGCCCCCGCCAGACACAGCTGGCAAGGCATGGTAAGCTTTCCTGGCCTTTCATACCAGGTACACCACTAACACTTTCTAAGGCCTGCCATTGTAATCGGTCTCTTCGTCGCCTTTGGTGGTGTCCTCTTCGGGTGAGCCTACACGTCGTTGTCGTATCACGCGCAAGTTCTGATCTCCCTAGATATGACACAGGTACCATTTCTGGCATTATTGCCATGGACTACTGGAAGAAGGAATTCTCCACCGAACCAGATCTCAGTATCACAGCAGCTCAGGACTCTCTGATCGTCTCCATTCTCTCAGCTGGCACCTTCTTCGGTGCTTTGACGGCTGCGCCGTTTGGTGATCTACTTGGCCGCCGCCTCGGTTTGATGGTTTCTGCCGGTGTCGTCTTCAACCTCGGTGTCATTCTGCAGACGGCCGCGACAGCGCAACCATTGTTCATCGCCGGTCGTTTCTTCGCCGGTTATGGTGTTGGTCTCATCTCAGCCCTGAGTAAGTCGGCTCTGTTCTCGTTGTTCTCCCCTTCCCGGCGTCGTGGGGCTGATCGTCAATGGTGGCTGACGCCCCTCGCCCCGCATCGATGAGGCTCTGCGGGGCATCTGGCTCGCTTGCACAGAAGCTAACAAGACAACAGTTCCCATGTACCAGAGTGAGACTGCGCCAAAATGGATTCGCGGAACGATTGTAGGAGCTTACCAGCTTGCTATTACGATTGGATTGCTGCTCGCGGCCATTGTAAACAATTCGACTAAGGACCGCAATGACTCTGGATCGTACCGTATTCCAATCGCGGTGCAATTCCTATGGTCTATCGTTCTTGTCGGCGGGTAAGTGCAGTGATTTCAACTACATGATGGCAGCTGCTAACCCTTCGCTAGACTATTCTTCTTGCCAGAGACGCCGAGATATCTCATCAAGATGGACCGATACGAGAAGGCTGCCGACAGTCTCGGCAAGCTCCGCCGTCTCCCAGTGGATCACCCGGCCATCGTTGAGGAATTGAACGAGGTTCAGGCCAACCATCTTTATGAGATGTCGTTGGGCAAGTCTACATACGCCGACTGCTTCAAGGGAACGCTGGGCAAGCGTCTCGTGACTGGATGCCTACTGCAGTCGCTGCAACAGCTTACTGGTGTAAACTTCATCTTTTGTATGTTCTCTCAACGGCGCAAATTTGCGGCTCCCTCTAATATGTCCAGATTACGGTACCCAATACTTCCAGAACGCCGGCTTCCAAGACCCCTTCATCATCCAGGTCATCACCAATTGCGTCAACGTTGCGTCTACATTCCGTAAGCCACCGCGGTTCCAGCCAAACGAAAACAGTACTGACTTTCGGATTTCTAGCGGGTCTCTACATGGTTGAACGCCTCGGTCGACGCAACCTTCTTCTCCTCGGAGCGATAGGCATGTGCGTGTGTCAGTATATTGTCGCGATCACAGGAACGGTAGCCGGCACATCCGATCTCGCAGCTCAACGTGCCGCCATCGCTTTCGTGTGCATCTACATCTTCTTCTTCGCCAGCTCCTGGGGTCCAGTCGCTTGGGTTGTAACCGGCGAGCTGTACCCGTTGAAGGCACGCGCCAAGTGTCTTTCTATGACCACAGCATCCAACTGGTATGTTCACAGACAATGATCATGGTATCGGAAAAGACTAACGCCATATTCCAGGTTGCTCAACTGGGCGATTGCCTACTCAACCCCATACATGGTTGACGAAGACCACGCAAACCTGGCATCTAAGGTCTTCTTCGTGTGGGGTTCATTCTGTTTCGTCTGCATCGCCTTTGTGTAAGTCCTTTTTCCCTATACACCATCCTACCCAACCCCAAACACCCGCGTGACAAACGCTGACACCCCTTCCCCCACAGCTGGTTCATGATCTACGAAACCAAGGGCCTCAGTCTCGAACAAGTCGACGAACTCTACGGCATCGTCAGCAAAGCGTGGAAGTCGCAGGAGTTCCGTCCCGCTGTCCAATTCGCCGAAATCGATCCCAAGGGTGGACACGACATAAATCTGGGCGAGGTGGCGCAGAACCAGGAGAGGAAGAGGAGTGTGCAGCACGATGAGGCTGTCGCAGTGCCCAAGATTGAGACTTAGGCTTAGGGCGAGGGAAGTACGAGGGGACGTGGACTTAACTGGGAATATGAGAAGGAGGGTGTGTGGATGGATGAGGGATGGTACATGCGAAAGCATGATAAATAGGGAGGAGCGGAGGATGTAATGTTGCATCGAACTAGATGCTTTCAGCCAGACGATGGCGAACAATGAATTGTTCGCTATTGCATTACGCATTACCACGACTTTGTCTGCTTACCCAACCCCATCATCTCTCCCCTCCTATCTCACCAACTCCTGCTCATCTCTTGCAACTGTCTTCTTGCCTGCATCATATGCCAATTAGTCCACGGGTCGTCACCCCGATGCTCAGGAGGAATTCGTATAGCCTCCTGCCCCGGTACGTACTCGCGCTTACCGTAAGACCCTTGTGGCTTCTCGTCCTGGAAGGGATTGACGAAGCGGGGGTATTTGGAGTCTTTGGGTGGTGGTGGGGTTGTGAGTGGGGGTGTAGAAGCTTGCTGTTGCTGCTGCTGCTGGACTTGTGCTTGGGCTTGTGCGTATGCGTGTGCGTGTGCTTGGGCTTGGGCTTGGGCTTGGGCTTGTGCTTGTGCTTGTGCTTGTTGATAGTACTGCTGCTGGAGCGGATGTTGAAACCCTTGCGGTGGATAGAATGGGTGTTGCATGTTTGGTAGGCCCATGACGGGCATGCCCATGCCTCGCCCCGCACCGGCCATGCCGGCCCCCAAGCCAGGCACGCCCATCCCTCCAGGCCAAAATCTTGGGTCCATGCTTTCTTCTTTGGGAACTTTGGAAGTCAATGTCGTTCGAATGCGAGGAGTGTTGCGTTGAACGTTGCCACGAAAGTTGGTAGTTTGCGGCGATTGGCGAGACAGTCGGCTCGAGATTGAGGTTAAGAAAGCACGGTGTCAATGAGGTCCATGGTTTTGCTGTGATGTCTTGCGATGATGCTGAGAATGTCAGCCAGCAGGTGGGTAGATTCGGAAATCCGGGATGTGAAGCAAAGAAGAAGAGAAAAGGCTTTTAATAGTTGAGACGGCGATTTGCGTCGATGATGGAGTTCTTCGTTGTTAAAATAAGAACATTTCATTCACACATGGCGAACAGCTCGTCATACCACATCATATCTCACTCGGAAGACCTATCGAAGTATGCAAACACTACATGTGTGCCTGCAACGTCATTCCTCGTCCGCGTGGGGAAGCCTTGTCGCAGTTGCCTAAATCCCCGGTCACTGTCACCCGTTGTTACTGTTGTGGACGCGTCACGTTCACCGTGACTTTTCGCGTTTGTTTGTTCGTCGCGTGCCCTTCCCTTCTGAGCCAGCGTGTGAGTCACACGCTTTTCGGATATTAGCGGCTATTGTACTCAGCAGAACGCGCGACGACATCGGTGTGGCGAAGATGCTGCCGCTCTCATTGGCGTAGAGGATGAGGTATTAGAGCGACTTCATGTCACTCATTTGGTCGTTCACGTCATCACCATCAGTAGCAGTAGCATCAGCATCATTGAGGTCATCATAGAGGTATTCAAGTTTCCATTACTCGAGTACCTAAACTTTTCATCCGTGAAGCGGGTATCCTATCCATCAATCATGTAGTGCAAAGACCATGCCAAGTGCTAGCAAGGCCGACGTAGGTGTCTCAAGCCAAGTAGTCACATCGACCCATGAAGAAGATAAACACCCAGTGTGTTCATGTAGCCGTGTCGTATCATACCATATCCAGACTGCAAAACCAGCAGCCAAAATGAAGAAACCGTGAACCGTGAATATCGTGCTATCATAAAGAAACCGTCCATCATACTGGCAACAACGGTTAGCAAAGCGATCATAAGGCACATGAGTTGTTCTTACAGTCGTGTAGGCGTAACCTTTACTCGCGTGAAGGCGGGTGACGAGGCGAGGTGCTTTTAGTTGAAATGTCCCGCGTTGAAACCATAGCCATCATAAGCCTCGGCCATGGGTACGTCGACGTATGAACCCTGAGTGAAACCGCAGTTCGCGAAAACGTCGTGAGGAAACGAATCAGGGATATGACCGGCCTCTAGCGGCGGTAGCCCATCTTGCGGCGAGCAAGCCAAACCAAGGAAACCTTGGGCTCCTCGCTGTCCCGACCCGTGCCACACAGGCGAGTGGCCACTAACATCTTGACCCTCTTCCACTTGGAAACTATAAGGACTCTCGTAAGCATGGCCCGACAGAGGGGACATCTCGGGAATGAACGCACTACGTGGGTGCCTAAGAAGAGCCTCGTTGTCCTCGTCGACAAGCTCGAAAGAGTCAAGATCAACAGACTCCATCTCTCTACCGTGGTAGTTTGCACCGGAGCCATACATCTGAGTATCGTCCACGAACTTGTTGACCTCAAGGTGGGTCTGGGCGTCGTTGCGGTAGAGGGTAGGCCTGCGTTGGGCGACAGGGGACTTGTGACCGCTGACACCGAAACCCTGACCAACCTTGGACGCATCACCGTCGGGCTGGAGATAGTCTACATCAGAGTCCTTGTTGTGAGCACGGTGGGAGTCAATGTTGAAGACGTCGTCATCAACCACGACGGGCTTCTGGTCTTGTGCCTCGTTGAGAACTTGGACCTTCTCCTTGGACTCCTCGCGGACAGTATCAGCACCGGCCTTGTTGAAACCCGGAGAGTGCTTGACGCCGACAGATTTTGATACTGGAACCTTTAGCTTTACGATCAAGGACGGACGGGAAGGAGTCAGTGGGTCCTGACCAGCGTTGGTCTGAGAGTTGGTGTTAGCAGTGGACGACAAAGAAGACGAACGTTTGTTCTTGCGCGTCCACGCCATCCTCAACGATGGAATTTGGTAGCCCTCTGCGATCTGTTTGCCGCGCAACTTCAAGATGGCCTGCTGAAGTGCGCCAGCAGTACAGCTCTCGCCGACAACCTGGCCAGCCTGGTCGAACGGGATCTGGACACCAGTCTCACCACAGGCCCAGACGATACCGAGGACTACATTCTTCCAATCGTTGTCACTCCACTTGAGTAGCTTGGGACGAGGCTGGCGTGGCTTGCGGGGAGCGCCATCCTTGTTGATCTTTGGGATCTTGGATGGGGGGTGGTCCTCGCGATCGCTCTCGGCGTAATCGCTGTCATATGTTGGGGTATAACTCACAGAGCCACCGTTGTTCACCGGAGCTTGAGCTGGGGCAACATAGGCTTGCATAGCGTGATACTGACCGCGACGGTGCATATCGCTCTCGAAACCGTAGTTGACGTAGGAATTGTCAACCTCGGGACCGCGGTAGGTCTGGATAGGTCCGTTGTGCTGCAGGAGGTTCTTGGAGTGACACTCAGGTGCGGGCATAGTGCGATTACGCTTGCGATTGGGCTTGTGTGTTGGTGTGGTCGGTTCCTCGTTGAAGAGGCTAACCATGTTTAGCTGGTTGTTGTGGAAGCGGGACATGATATCCAGTAGCTTACGTTCAAGTCGTAGCAATGGATCAAGAACCAAAGCGCTCTCTGCGTTGGAATTAGCAAGAGGTCAAGCAAAGGCGCAATGCGTACACCAGAGTGGGCGTGTTGTGTGTGGGGCGGAGAGCGGGGGAGAGTCAACAATGCAAGCTGTAGCGCCACAACGAAGCTGCCAGCGTGCTGCTGAAGCGGGCAAAAGGAGGGTGCAGTGCAGGGGAAGCAGCTGCTAAGCTGCTGGAGGTACGTACCTTTTGGAGATGTGTAGGTGGCGGTGTTTACAGGTGGTGCGGTAAAGACGGACCAGCTGTGTGAGGGACTTAGGGGAGGCAGACGAGGCAGACGAGACGCTAGCGTTATCGAGCTCCCGGGCAGCCCAGTTACGTAGGCGACGAACTGGCTAGTAGGGCGGACGTGCTCAACGTACGCTGAGCCAAGACCACAGCAACACACCCCTTCCTCTTCGCAAACAGGACTAGACGGCGTGAAGCACGGGAGACGCCGGAAGAATGTTCACTCTGAACTTCCTAACCGTAGCAGTCTATATGTCTTCTTTGCCGTCTCCTGTTCGGTGAAGACGAAGAAGGTTTCGCGGGTGCGGTGGCTGACGGCGTACAGTTGAGCCACAAGGTAGGACGCTAAGGGACCACAGATAATCCAAAGCAGTCGAGATGGCGATGTCGTAAAGCGACCACAACCACGTTCCTCTCGATCAGTCGGCAGTTGAAAGTTGGTCGATGTAATTCGGTTCGGGTTCAAGATATCAATTGATGTGTCGGAAAATTGGACGGCCACACAAATTCCAATCAAGTTGCGAAGGCACTGCAAGGTACTGCGTCGGAAGATAAGAATACTCTTCGCAGACTTCCAGTTGTCAACGTTGGTTGGGCATGCAGTTGACTTGATGAACGGTATAAGCGAGGATGTTCAGGTGAGAGAGCGACGTCTTGCTTTTGAAGTTCTGATGTTGTGATCGCAAGAGCCTTTGTGGACGAGGAAAGGTTATGTCAAGGTAAGTTGAAGGCATATATATATATATACCCACAAGTCTCAGCGACGCTTGATATAAGCGGTAACGGCGCGGACTGTGGTGTCTCGAAGCCTGGGTGAGCGACAACACGTGAGCAAAAGCTCATGTACATGTACTACCCCGCGCTTCAAACCCTTGGTGACGTGGGAATCCGGGTGGCAAACTGGCGGTAAAGGCCGATAGTCGGCGTCGATGAGCTGACTACAATCAGAAAGTCGTATTGTATTGTCTGTCTCGCCGTGGATATACGTTGCCTATTGTGGTGGCTGCGGGCCATTAGTATTCACTGAGCCCACGTTGCGGGTCGTGTGCTAATGGTGTGTACTTCCAGAATGTTTGAGTCCCGAAGGAGCCCTTTTTAGATCCCATCTCTTTTAGTATTGTTCGCAAGAAAAGCCTGACTAGCAGTGTACCTTTTTCGCTCGATCATGTTGTGAACGAGATGCCTGAACAAGCTGACAGTACCAGAGTGTAATGGCTGGTTGCAATGGCTTGTGAAAAATGTTCAAGAGACAGAGCAAGAAACCTTCTGGTAGATCGAAGGCCGAGGTGTAGACAGGAAAGTGTGTGGAAGTGGAGATATGGCAAACCCACAATATAACGAAGATGACATACCCGGACTTAAACTTGACAGTGTAAGAGAACCTCTCACATCAGTGCACCTTACCTTTTGTTCGGCAAGCGGAAGAAACCTACCGCTAGGGTATCTAGATACTAAATGCAAACCGAATGGCAAGATATTGAACCGTGAACATCAGCCCGAACCGAATGGGAAGGGCAGGATAGGTATCGATGCTAGGCTCCGTAGCCAAGGGTTTGATGTTGTTGAATATCCGGAAAAAGGTCCAAAGATGATGGGCGCGCGCGATAGAAGCTTTTACATACTGCCGGCTGGGTTTACCAGCTGGTATTGTTTCCGAACTGGAAGGCGAAAGCTCTGTGAGGGAAGATGTACATGAGCCTTGCCAGATACTTGAACTTTGGACCTGATGATCGCAATATCTACGACTCGCGCTGGCATGCTAGATAGACGCCTTTGTGGGTTTGTACAGCTGCCTGAGACTCTGTTCGACTTCCTAGGCAGTCGATAGCCACCCCGAAGCACGGGTTAATGAATGGGAAGGAAGGCCTTCAAGATTGGTGCGGAGTCCAGAGGTGCGGTTACACTCAGACGGTAGGCGCTATTTTGATGTTGATACAGCTTACACGGAAACGTTGACAGCTTACAGCGGAAGCATACTGCTGATTGTTTTAT